GAGAGAGAGACACAGATCTCCAGAGACCATCTCACCATAAGACAAGGGGGAAGAGGATAAAACTCAGACTGTACTTCAACTCAAAGGACTTTAACACTCCCTGCCACCCCACCCCCTCGCCCCAATAAGCCCTCTTGTGTTTTTTAATTGGCAGAAATTAATCTTTAGGATGTAGATGGTAGATTTACATTCATTAAAAGTCAAGAGAGGAAGCCAGGCTTGATGCTAATCAAATCTGCTTAATTATGCTTAACATGAGTATCTCCAGGGGAAGAGAGAGAGGGGGAGAGAGATAGCTAACTCGAACTTTTTACTTTTTGCCTTTGATAACTCCTGCTGAGTATGGCCTTTTCCGTGCCAAAAAGAAATGTCACGACTCTCTTTGTACATCTGTGGAAAACACCCCAATAAAGCCATCAGTGTTGACTAAAACCTATTGTTGTCAGGGCACCGTTAAGTGTTTAGTGAATGTAAAATGTTTAGTGTTTGATCTAATAGATGGGGTAAGTATGAAAGTGCACAGGAGCCAGGTTAGAAGTGTAGCAGGATACCCTGGTGGGAAGTGACTTTGTCTCACAACAGGAAGGTCACTGGTTTAATTCATACTGCAGCCATTGTACCTTTACTCTACTGAATGAAACAATGAGCTCCCCTCTATTATTATTAATACATATACACCCATATGCATCCACCAGGAGAGAGGAAACCAATTCAACAGTGTCATTTTACAACATAATAGTCTGCTCAAATGCTGGTAATCTGCTTTTGCTCAACATTGCCCTGCTAATTAATATTTTAATATCTCTTTTGATTCCGCTAATTGCTTCAGAACACTGTAATTCCTCAGTTTTAACCTCCAACATTTGTCTCATGTTAATATGTCAGAAAGCCAAAAGCTTCTGCCAGAAGTGATTTTTATAAAATTGTGGTGGGCTGTGCTTGCTTCCTGAACACTAACTCTAAACTAAAATCTGATGGGTATCCTCTTAAAAGCAATTTTTCTGATGATTCTGAAGTTGAATCTTTCTACAATTTTGGATCCCTTTAATTGATTGTACTAAAAAGACAGATTGGCGCATTTGCAGTAGCAACATTTCTGGTGCAATCTTCCAAATTTAAAAGCTTGTATTCCATATTAGCTGTTATGAGTCAATGAGACAAAGCTAATATGCATGTTGTGTTGTTGTTTGAAAGCCAAGATCTTGGTCCTTTCCACATGTCTCTTTTGGCCACAGAGCAGCAGAAGCATGAGGGGAATGTGTAGGTGGCTAGATCAGCCGATGAAGTGTAAATACCACTCAATCTGTTCTCATTAGAGGAGTAAAAACGTACGAATCACTTCGCCTCTATTAAAAATGCCCCAGGGCCTTAGTGGATTGTCCTTGTGTGTATTTGCATGTGTACACGTCTGTGTGAGGGAGAGAGGGGCTGACAGGATGATGTTTTGGCATTTGTGCCTGTGGATGGGATCTGAAATGCCACCACCATCATTGCTGCTTAATTCCCAGATACACACAGTTAATCTGAACAGACAATCCATTCCGACAGCCACTGTTATGATTCAAATCAACTCCGAGTGAAGTGTGTGCTGGGCTGAGTAAGAGAGGATGTCATTGTATTTTGGTTTGTGATTAGGTGTCTATGGATGTATGACCAAGATATCACACATCCACTGCACATTCCCCTATGATAATGTGGATTGATTATGGATATGATAATGAGAGGCCGGCGCGGCGTCGCGACCTTCACAAGGTCTAATTGAAACAAGCGTTGGTCCTCCGAAGCACTTATCAAGTCACACAGCACATCATTAATCACTGAGAATACAAGCTGTCAGTGAACACACATGCGCACACACACACACACACACACACACTCCATATTTTCTGTTTTTACAGCATATACACACATGCTCTTTTTCCTGTCTCTCTCTCTTTCTCTTACATACACACACACAATACAAGCTGTCACCGCAATATGCCTGGCATTGTCTTCTTTTAAGGAGAGTGGACAGCTAGTCCACCCTCTATCTCTATTTTCTTCTTTAAGAAAAGTTGAGTAACAAACAGGCTATTGCCGTTTAAAGGGAGAACAAGAAAGGCAATGTTAAAAGAACCCAACTAAACGAACAGATGTTCACTTTACACAAACCCATTTGAGATTGAATTAGTGCAAGTTGTTTTACTACCTGCTTTTATTAGAAGACAATTTAACAACCAAATTCGATTTCAGTGTCTGATTAAGGCAGCATATGGTCTGTACCTGTTAAACACAACATGCTCAACAGCAACTTAACGCCTCAGTGAGCTACTCAAATAAACTAATAAGCACAATATCATATTAGTCATTACATAGTCCAACACACAAAATTCCAATCTGATAAAAGGTACTTTCATTATCAGCCAGGAGAAAACACAAGGGAGTAGGCACGCGCTCGGTCGATGCCATCAACAACTTTGTTAATTGTTATTCAATTAACTGCTTTTGTTAATGAAACCAATTAATACTTTCCATATATATCATTATTATGCATGCAGAAGATTGCTAATTACAACTGTAAATCAATCAATTCTACATTAATCAGTTTGGAAAATGTCCAAAACCAACAAAGTCACTAAGACTTTGAAGACTTTTTTTTGATTGCCACACCATTATCTGTCTAATGATTGTTAACGATCCTTTAAAGAGTTTACGATCCAATTTCCTTGCTATGAATTTAATTGGTACCTAAATAGTATAATCTTACAGTGTAGAAGTGTGGTCTGTATTTAATCAAGGGTGCAATATTGCTGTAAACTCTAACAAGGTCATGGAACTCCTCTCAGGGCAAATAGAGCCAGTGAAGCCTTACATTGATGCTGGTGATGAGGCCCAGATAACCTGAGTTAGAAATATGAAAACAAAAGTGTACTTGGTTGAGGTACATGGTTATATACAGCTGTGCTCATAATTGGGTTACCATCTTAGAATACGCTGGTGTCCACTAATCAGTCTAATTATTTTAGTAAAGTGCATTCCTCACACCTGCAAAACAAGATCCTTTCACTTTTAAATGAGAATGCCCTCATTTATCAGAAAAATAGTCCAGAGGCTGGATAATTATCAGACGTACAAACACAAACACCTTTAGAAGTTTGATGTGAGGATGTACTCCTTGAGTTGATTCGGTCATGTGACCTGACCAGTGCCCTAGTTGAACACTCTTAGATGTTTATGCATATGTGGACGCTAATCTCTCAGTCAGGACTGTGGGATTTGGGAATATTTTGTTTAACAGAGATCAAAGTAACAGGCTAAGATCAGGAGAAACCCTTCAAACACATCAAACAGAGACCAATGCGTCCCACGCCCACAGTAGCCAATCAAGCCATGCATAACTCTGTCTTCTTTGTAACAGAAAAAGATTCTTCATGTGGGTCTCTCCCCATCATCGTGTTAGCTCGCCCCCCACATAGGGCTCAGAATCGTTTCAGCTTTTTGTTCCAGGGCTAAAAAGTTACAAATACTCGTTTTACTGTTATGTAGTATAATTTTTGGGGAGCCTGAGTAGCAAATTTTAACACATGTACTTTTACTTGTAACTGGGTAGGCTACTTGGAATTAGCTACATTAAAACCATAGGAGTTTCAGAGTACAGCACAGGTCCCAATGGTTAATACATTGTTGTCTCAATTCTGTCTCTGCTCCTCTCAGATACCTGCAAAAATGAGAAACAGCATTGCATTGCCTGCTTTTTTTCGCCAAAAGCATCTTGTACTTAGAATAGTGTTTTTATATGTAGCTTACTTATACTTAAACTTAAAGGTATATTGTGTAACATTTGAAGAGGAGGGTTTATCACTTGATGTCTCCATGGAACCATTATTGCTTTGTCTAGCATGTTCCGTATACATTAAACCTATCTATCACAAGGGAGACACGCAGGTTACAGCACTGTGCTACCTTAAAATTCAGATCTGTGGAGATTTGCCCCTATTCACAGAAGGAATTACTGTATTTTTGAGCAATAGAAATACATAATAAATAAACACTAGATAGAAATATGTAAAGTTATACCATGGAACATTCCAGGCAAAGCAATGACATCTCTAAGGAGACAAGCTGGTAGCGAACCCTCCATCAGAAAAGTTGTGCAGCACAAGTACATATTTACAAAAAAAAAAAAAACTTTGTTCAGCTTTAAACAGTTCATTTAAATTTTTGATCTAAATTGCACAAAAATCAACTCAAACTTAGAGTAGTTTTATATGTAGCCTACTTTATACTTTTACTTAAGTACATATTTGACAGCAGTAGTCTAATACACGGTTTCAGTACTCTTTCCATCACTGGGCTTTATGGGGTATCAAGAAAAGCCATTGCTGCAGCGCGTCTGTATGCCTTTCATAGTTGGAGAACACGATGCTGGTATTGAGGAACAGAAAGATAGTGTGTTAGGAGATCAAAGGAGCGGTACAGAGATTTCAACTGCGAGTCTGTCAGTCAAGATGTTGAGACAAAGCAGAGGAAGACAGAAGTGCTTACACACACATACCCTGCTGCTCACTTTGGGCTTTCGCTGTGCCTCTGAGGGAGAGGTGTTGTTAAAGGGCTTAGGGGCTACTCATTTGCAGACATCTCCACTGGTTTAAACCTACATTCAGCGGGGAGCAGACACACAAACACTGACAGTCCATGGTACAAGATGAGAGGTCGTTCCAGGCCCGAGCAGAGGCCTGTGGAGGAATCTTCTGTGCTCTCAGCATTTTCCCTCGTCTACAAGATGAATAGAGCCATTTTACAGACAGTGGAGAAACAAAACAATGTTCTGTATGGTTGGATTTGTGATGAACGGTCTCCATTTCTGGTTGATCAAAGGCATACATTTTTGGCAAGTTTGCAATATAGTAAAAAAATGGCCAATTGTGTTCTATAAAATAAAGGAAAAAGTCTATGCTGGGACAGGGAAGTATAGGGACTATGGATGTTTTTGTAAAGCACACATACAAAGACAAAACAGGTAATAAATAAAAATGTATTTCTCTTTTGCCATTACATTAGGTACTGCTTTACTGATCAGTCTTGAATGAGATCCCATTATAAGTATAATTTATAATTGTTAAAAGTATATCATAACAGGCACATTTTTTTGAAAACGCTTGGCACAGAAAGAATGAAACAGCACCATCTTGTGGGCATTTGCTGTTATGTTTTTAATTTTACAGTAAAACAACAGAATATTCAACACGTTTAAAGTCAAATTAAACAAAGGAAATGTATAACTTAAAATGAAAAGTTAGGGGCAAAATGTAATGCAACATCTATAAAAATGTGTCAAGTAAATCCTGTTCATCTAAGAGAAGACAAAGGATTTTACTCAAAAAAAACAAAACAAAAAAAAAGCATGATTGGCTGATGTCTTTAACACACAAGTTCCATTCAGGACCAGAAGCCATCTCTTCCTTTCTTCAGCTTGTGCCATTTTCTGAAGTCTAAAACATAACATTATAATAATTAATGCCAATAGCAATACCATTCCCCTAACATTTTTACAACATCTTTCCATATGATTTTCTATCTATAATGAATCTTGTCACTTTATACATCAAAAATAATTCACCCATTCACACTGGAAGGTGTGGGAAGGTCTTGACACAAAAAGGGTGCAACAAGTTAATCAAACAATTGCAACTAATCGATTATTTAAATAGCGGTCAACCAGTTCAGTAATCAAATAACCATTAAATTCAGTCTTTTTGACTTGTCAACTAACTGAATAATCGAAGGAATAATTGCTGGATTAATCAATTAGCAAAAAATTGTTAATTGCAGCCCTAGAATCTTATCATTTGAATCGTCAAATTTTATTTCTAGAGCTGTCAGACTATTGAAAAGGAATGTGACACTGATGTGAGCAATACATTTTCTTTCTGATCTTTCACAGCAGTGCAAAAGACATTTTACAGAGGAAAATACAGCAAAGGGCAAAGAAAAGGCAAAGATTAGAAGATAAAATGTAACAGATAAAAAATATATATTGTAAAAAATGTAGTTCAGTATAGAGGTGTTCCCTGAGGTCTTCTTTCTTATAATAAAATCTGACCATAATGCAACACAAACTTTGTTTTTATAAACCTATATCTTATGCAGCATTCATTCACCTTTAGGGACTCTGAAGCTTTCCGCAGTTCTTTGATCACTGAGGACAGCGCTTCTGGGTTAATACCCTGTTCACATAGACGAACACAGATGGAGAGAGACTCCATGTCCAAACCGGTGTTTAGCAGCCTGGATATCTCCAGTAACACTGTAAGGAATAAGAAAACATAACTGATATTAATTGTGACATGAAGCATTACCTGTTATCAAGGATCTACCACCTGTTACATTATCATATTTTTAAGTTGAGATGGGTAGCATTATTCATCTATTACTTGGGTACATTTATATTAGAAAAAAAATATTGTGCTATACCGTGGCCAATACTGTTTATTTTCAAATAACAAAATTTATTCTTGAGTAAAATTATTACTCAGTTCCTCCCTCTTGTGTAGAAGAAACATGGCATTAAGACATTTTGACAATAGCAGAATGTAACAACGTTCTTACACTTTGTTCTACTTTTTTGTATTCTTCCATATCTTTTGAAATGTGTACATTTTAAACATAAGTACACAAAAGTATTGTAAGTATGCTTACCTTCCATGGTCTCTCGTACTGCGTTCAGGTTGGCGTTGGCTGCACTTGCCATTGCAGAAGCTGTATGTTAGCTGTATCTAAAGATGACTTAGAAACGGGGAAAATCGTAAGTCACGTGCAGTCTGCTTGCTTTAGTAGCTTTACCATATGTCTGTAATATTGCTAAACGTCATTTTACAAATGAATGCTTAACAGACTATCTGTTATGTTGATAGCAAACCATTTAGCTGCTAAACACAAACCACTAGCCATGCGCCGGATGTGACGTGTGACATTGTGCGTCAGTTCTGATTGGCTCACACAGGTTTTCTTGCATTGATTTGATTGGCTGATATGTGCTGTAGGCGAAATTGAATTGAACGTTTGCTTTGCTGCTGTTCTGGCTCTTTCTGTGACTAGTGTTTTAATTCCTCACCAGCTCAGTGTAAGTATAAACTACTCTACTTACAACAAATGAGATTGCTATTGTCAAAATATACAGTTTGCATGGTTGATTTGCTGAATGTATGTAGCTTAACGTAAATTTTTAACCATTACCTACGCCTAAGTGCGTCGTCAAGTCAAACCTCCAGCCAAACAAGGCAGCCAAACAACTGTTCATTTGGATTAAGGTGTTGTTTGTTTTTATACATTTAAACTTTTTTTTTTTTTTTTTACATTAGCTGAAATGGGGGATCATGTTGAGGTACATATCACACCAGAGACTCCGGGAAGACCCTCAATTAGAAATCCTTTTGAAAGCCCAAATGACTACCACCATCTTCGAGAGCCTCTTGTACCCAGTCCATCTGTGTTTAAATCTAAAACCTGTAAAGCAGTAAGTATGAGCACACTCTGGACATTATTCTCTGGCAAACTTGTAGTTAATGGTTCTATTTTCTGCCTCTTTTCTAGACTCCTCCAAAATTTACCTGGTCTATTGAAGAAATGGCCAGTCTTTTTCCTGTTCATATAGACCAAGAGGAAATTCAACGACAGTCTTTCTATCTCAGCCAAACAAGGTATGTCAAAACACTGTCAAATTTATTATAAACAGTTTATAATTTTATATGTTTTATGTTTTTGTTCATAATTCTCCTTTTAGAACAGATTCAGACATGGAACAAAAGTGTCAAAATGCCATTGACCATGTATGTTTATAGTTGCACCTTTTCATTAATTTAAAGGTTTTATATACTATATGTTTATTAAAATTTTCATTCCTTTTTTCAGTTTTTCACCAAAGGATCCATTGTCCCCTCACCCTGGGCTGCATCAGAATCCCGTAAAGTTGGTCCTGTCTGTAAGAAAAGTAGGTTTGTTTCAATATTCTACATCACCTACTGTGGGCTAATAGAATAAGTGCTCATTCCATTATTATGTTTGAAGGTACTGTGTCTCCATTGATAGCTGAAAACCTGGGGAAGATATCTGGTTCGTATACATCAGGATATGTCATCAATTTTTAACTCTTCCTTGGTTACAGACTTTTTTTTTTTTATTATATTTTTTTTCCCTAGTTGGTTGTCAGACAATGCTCTCGTTGCCACTGGCCTTTGATTTGGAAAAAGTACTTGGTGAGTCACCTGACAGTTGCAACAAGATTTCTGTATGTAGCCTGCGCTCAGATTGGTTGGTGATTAAAAAACAAGTTATAAGTTACACCTGGGTTGCCAGTGCCTGCATGTAGAGAATACATACATGCTTTTCTCATTCTTCATGAGACGTCTCATGTGAAAGATCAGAACCTGATCAGCACAGATTACACAGATAATTGGCTGCAGGTACTGGGTAGTTAGAATTCAGATTTGCAAGAGGCTTTTAGGTTAAAACCAAGTGGATTTTAGCATTAAAACTGGCAACCCAAGCAAGAGGCTCATGTGATGCTCATTCTGCTTTCTGATTGGTCTTGAGAATCAAAACACTAAATTATACTAGGGCCATCATGTCCAGTGTTTTTGTAATTAACAAATCTAATGCAGATTTATTCTCCACAGGGGAATACTACCGATATGAAGAGCCAAGTGATGCTGTACAGGAGAGCCTTAGTTCCTCATCTTTGAGGCGAAAACTTTTCCTTGATGGCCAAGGGAGTGGGTCAGATAGCTCCACGCCTCCAAGTCCTGTAAGAGGCCTTCCAGAGCAACCCAGACTACAAGCAGACGGCATAGACGGAGCTACAGAGAACTTGCACATCCCAGAAAGAGAAACTGCTTCCTCCATTTTCTCTTCCCCTTTGTCTTGTGGCATTCCTACGGCAACTCCCTCTACGGTAGAAAGCTACAGTGATATTCAACCAGTGTTTTGTGAGTTCCGTTTCTAAAAGTTGTGAACTTGCTTTTTGTAGGGTCAGTTTTCATCTAGCCCAATCCAGAATGGCCGTTTCCGGGACTGCAGTCTTGGTAGCATGAATAGTCCTGTTTTACCTGACAGATCGTCTCCAGCTCGCCTTGTGTCACCCATCATTTCCCCTATCTTTGCACAAGCTTCTTGCACACCCATAGCTACAAGTAATTCATACTTTTGTCCATCTTGCAAACACTGAATGTAAACACTGGCAATCAAAATTTTTTTCTTTCTTGTTGCAGAAAACAAGCCACCAACAAGTTTGACCCCACTAAATGCTCCTCTGGATGGTGACATTACTTCGTGCATTGAGAGCCCATTTGTTGAGGGATGTTCCCCTATTCGTAGCTGTTCCCCTATTCGTAGCTGTTCCCCACATCAGCTCAACTACCATGAGCTCAAAAACTATTCCAGATCCAAACTAAGGAATAGTGTTGGATTTTGGGCCTCACCTCCTCCAATATCTCCTATTCTCAATCCAAGACTCCAGGACGGCCAAGAGCTTGAGGACCTCCAGCCACTACCCTCAATGGATTTGGATCCAGTGTCTCCTCGGATGCCTGGTTTTCAAGACACCAAAGCAATTAATGAGATAAATGTAAAGCCTATGACAATGGAAGAAGTTGGAGGAAAAGACATTGAGGGGAGATTAGAGGATGAGGAACATGAACCTGAAGGGCCAGGAGTGCGACTAACCAGCTCTCGAATGGGAAATGTGTCTGCAGGAGAGAGCTCTCAAATGTTTATGTCCCTTTTGGCAGAGGGAAGCAGCATACGCTACGAGTCAAGCATGCAGGTTGGTTAAAAAAAAAAAAAATTAATTAATTTAATTTCTAAGTTTAGGATGCTATAATATTTTTAGATGGACTGGCTTTACCAACCATAGCTTTACACTTGCAAAAGACTGGATTACAAGACTCTGGGTAGCAGTTCTGACAACACTATATGCAGGGGTTGAATTTATTATTCTATTGTAGGTGGACAGCGGTTACAACACTACTTCAGCTGGCGCTGGCAGTCTAATAGATGGACTTGGTTCAGAGTGCAATGGCAAAGAGTCTTTCACATCAAATATGTCAGAAGATACCTTTCAACTTACAAGACACACTAAACCAAAGGTAAGTTCAGTTTGGCTAGTCCTCATTTTAAAAAAAAAATAATTTTCTGTCTTCCAATTCTGATGGTTTTCTTGTTTCTGCAGATGTTTTACCCTTATCATTGAGATTTTTAATGACAATTGTCAGAGCAGACTTCAGTGGAAAAACAAGATTTTTTTTTTTTTTTAAACATCAGAAGTTTTTTTTTACTTAAACTTAACTGTTTACACAATTATTCTACTGTAATGGGTTTAAAAAACTTGAATATGGTATCTTGCTGTGGCATTAATTTTGAATTGATAATCTAAATTAGAATGTATTTATATTTTATATATTTTATCATGATTTTATAAAATGTCCTCATACTGTTGAATTGTTTAAGAATTGCTAAAATCCGAGTATTGTTCTTAACCTTTTTGAAAGTTTATTTATTCCAGTATAGCAAGTAAATCATGCCACTTGAATCAAATGCTGAATGAGCCATTTTATAAATTTGTACTTTACTGTGGGCTGAATAATTGTCAAAATTAAAGAAACTTAAGTTTTATTGTTGGAACTTACAGCAGAACCTTGTATGTTGTAAAAGTCAGAAAACAGCACTACTACAAATCTTAGTTTTTTCTTTTAATCTAAAACATCTGCAAATACATCACCATATAAAAATAGAAGTATTCATCTTTTTTAATCTAGTGATCAATTTTAGATTTCTTTGATGGGGGCTCCAGATCTTCAGCTGGAACACTCACGCCAGGAATCTAGTGGAAGTAGAACTTGATTATAACCAATTTAAGTTCTTAACATTCATTAAAGTCGTTTCAACATACCACAGGCTCTAGCAGTGCCATTCGAATCTTCTGGTGCTGGATATTGGATGCATCAAGACTGATTGTGACTTTGACCTTATCGAAAATGTGAAATGTATGCTGCAGCACTGTCAAACTGGGGCCCTAAAAAGAGGTCTTACATTATTTCTCCTAAACATTACATTTAAACTCATTGACCGTTCTTACCTCTTCATCATAAACAAGGCTTGGCCCTGTTTTGTCTTTATTCTCAAAGAAAACAGTTCCCTCCAAACCAAACTTGGGGATGAGTACAATGATGGCATTTTTCCTCACAAACAAAACAAAGCCCTCCTCATTTAATACACCTCGGGTTTTGAAGAACAGCTAAAAAAGGAAATGGATGCATTTAAGAAAAAACGTTTTTATGTATTCATGCTGTCCAATGTGAATATATGGTGATCATTGTTACCTGTGTGTGGAAAGCCACCGAGGCCCTCTGTGCATATTGAGCCATTTTGTGCCTGTAATTGAGGTTGTTGCACAGAGCAGACTGCTTGTGCTTATCCATTAGATCTGAATAGGTGCTGTCTGCACCAATAGCCACAGCAAGAAGGCGGTGCACTATAATATCAGAGTACCTTTGTGTGGAGAATATGACTGTTATCAAAGAAATATCACCCAACAGATTTTGCTTTTATACATTACCTTCTGATAGGGGATGTAAAGTGTGTGTAGATTGGTGAAGCAAGACCATAGTGATGGAAATCACTGTCCATGCCAGAGCAGAAGTAGACCGCCTGCATCATGCACCGGGTAGCCAAGATTCGCAACAGAGTATTGAAGTATGGAAAGCTGTCCACTTGGGCTACATCAAGGGAGTCTGCCAGTGCCTTTGCTGAATCTGTGTGGATCTCTACATTCTGTAAAAATGTATTATAAAACATAAAATAAATTAGTCTGCTCCTGTGCTCCAATGCAAACAAGGCTAGCTTACTTTTGACTTGGCAGCCTTTATGAGAATGTCATAGTTTGAAGGTGGGGGTGCTGGATGTTTCCTTAGCAACGCACACTCTGGAAACTCATCATAGATCTTTTGGGCAACAGAAATATTAGCCAACAACATAAATTCCTCTACCATTGAGTTGGTTTCCCTAATGAGAACATGAACCAGTAAAAGAAGAAGACATGGTTACATAAAGTTAAACGGTATAAACGAAATGCAACAAATGGCTGAATAAAAAAATGATAGTTTATCAAAAGACACTAACATTAGTTCTTTAGTCTGAAGGTCAATAGGATCATGAGTTTCACTGTCTATGTGGAAACGAACTTCCAAGGATGACAGAGTTAGTGCCCTTAAAAAAAAAAGGATTAAAAAGGCATAACGATTGTTATATGATACTGATATATTTATGCTTACCCATTCTCTATTCTTCGTCTCTTCAAAATTTTGGCAAGTTTGTTGAGACCCCGCAGACTCTGTGTTATGTCATCATTCATAGTTGTATCATCGATCCTCATCTGGGCCTCTGCATATGTCAAAGATGCCTGGGAAGTTTGAACAGTTAACTCAAGTACATATTCAGTTATTTGCTAATATATAATTTTACACTTAAATTTACAATAAATGTAAATGCACGCTTTACCTTGGAGTTAATAATACTTTTTGTAAAGTGTGTCTTTATTATTTCAGCATTATGGTTAATTTCCCATATGCAAGAAAATGCCAACCTAGAATCATATGAATAAAAATGATTAGTTTTAGGACAGGTTACACCACTGGAGACTGGAAGAGACTGGAAGCTTTGGTCAAATCCTTACCTTTCAACATTGGAGCGCAAAGAACACAGATTTGAGCTCAGTAACTCAGGAACCATATCAATTCTCTGTTGAAAAAGCAGCAGTATTATATTTCAATAATATTACTTTACATGATGACGTGATTTACGTGATGCTCCTACCTTTCCACACAGGTAGACAGTCGTCCCTCTGTTGGCTGCTTCTTGATCAAGAGCATTGCCAGGTCTGATGAAGTGGCTGACATCAGCAATATGGACACCAACCTAAATGCACGCGGCCAAGAATAGATGAAAAGAAATCTTTTGAGTAATAATTATTTTATCCATGTCAACCAGACCAAAAGCATTGTGTTTGTGTTTACACCTCCAAGTTTCCATTGTCCAGTTCTCTGCAGTGAAGAGCATCATCAATATCAGTACATCCAGGTGGGTCCACACTGCACACAGTCAGCTGTCTTAGGTCTTCTCTCTTTGCTTCGTCCTGCCATATAAATATTAGAGAAAACAATTATCAGCCTAGGAATCAACACAATTAGCTTGCTGGAACTGTGCCTACTTCTGGAGTGATGGACCATGGCATCTTGGGAAGAAAACTGAGCACAGCTTGGGAAAAGGCCTGGTGTGGTACATCATGTTCCAGCAATAGCACTTCTTCCTCAGTTTCCTTTTCACCTGCACCACCCAGGCTGCGCACAAAGTGACCCTAGCACCAAAACAATTTTAAGCCCCAATGACACAATGGCACAATTTAGAGGATGTAAAGGAAAATAGTTTACATTTGGATATCTGGAGTCTTTGGGCCAGCCATCAATGGCAACCATGATTCTCTGCCCAGCCAGAGTGGATGCCTGACGGGTTTCTATACGAATACGTGGAATACGTCTGTCAGCAGGAGTGAAAAGATGCCTTGTTGACTATAATAAAACAAAGAATGTTATCCACATAGTATGCAACATAGTAGGTAGTTTAAATGTGTGTGGTTTTTTTACCTCTTTTATCTGAGAAACATTAAGCATCCCACAGAAAGGTCTCCAGCTTCTTTTGATGATCCCCACTACTTTCCCAGTTGTTTTTTTGGCTGCTTCAGCTGCTGATGTTTTCAACTATTTAAAAGGGTCTGTGATTAAAAATGACTGAATCTCAAAGTAGGCTTGTAATCAGCAAGAAAACATACTGCTTTTTCTTCATCCTCCTCTTCACCAGCATCATCCTTTGCCATGCCTTCATCTTGAAGCACTATTGAAGAAGGAGCCACCCACTTGTCCCGTGGCAATAGCTGCACAGCAACCACATCTTGGTGCACTGCTCTGTTTAGGTTTGTAAGGCCCTGGATAAGAACCTATAAGCAAATGTAATATTCAAGTAGGTATAAACAATCATATGAATGAATGAATGAATGAATGATAATGCCCTTTTCACAGCCGTACCTCAGTACTTTCTTCACCCTCTCCATGGACAAACACTGTTCCCTCCAGGTAGTTGTCCCTACTGGCCCGATAGGTTCCTTGAAGGAAAGTACCAGCCTTGATGCCTGCATGGACCTTGGACAGTGGAAGATGCTCTGGGAATAATACTTTCTTTGAGATTTCATTCTTGAAAGACAAAAAATATAATTAATTAATACCAGAGAAATGACAGATAAATATAATTTTGTGATTAAACTGACTTAACAATTGTTTACCTTTTCATCATTAGTCAATGCCAAGTGATCTACAAGCTCGGGATTTGCAATAAGACTCTTAATGTACTCTTCACCTGCATAATAGTAATTATACGATATTGGTATATGCATAGGGTACATATATTTTAAATAAATCATTGTTTAACAAAACAACTTACATTTAAAAACTATCAGTCCAATTTCTTCAGCCTTTTGCTTGTTACCCTGGTCATTTGTGAGGAGTACCACCTCCAGTCCATCAGAAGTAGACTTGAAGGTCTTCAGGTGTTCACTGTACCATTTTGCAGCAACACGTATCGCCCTGTCATTGCGGTCGTTTGCACTCTCTCCTGGTTCACGTTCAGTAAATGTCTCTCTGGAGACATTTGGAAAATTGGAATTTAGGCTGGCATGCAAATAGTAGCCTATATGATGCGAGTTGTGTGTACCTGTGATGTTCATTAGTAAACGTGTAAAAATGCTTCTCTTTCTCATGTAACATGTCTTTAACCCTCTTATAGATAGGTGCACTACGGTGACGGACCTCTTGGAGAACAGTCTGTAGTATGATGACATTACGGATAATAGGATCCTCCAACACATCAATCTGCAAAACAAAATGTAACAGATAATATTTATAATTAGATAAGTGAGATGATGCTGCGCTGTTACATTTACTCAGTACTCTCAGTTGAGTAAAAATGTCTTGCTCTACCCTTTTCTTCTTTACATGCCCTTACCTGATGCAGAACCACATTGGTGTCAGGAATAAAATAGTGTGGGTAGGTGCACAGATTGCTCTCAATGCGAGCATCCCTCTGAAGCACTGTGGTCTCCTGTTTGCACTCGGAACATATCTCACTACCACACCAAATATCGTCTCTCAAATAATGTTCACGCACTATTTTCACCACCCCACCTGACCGCGTCTTCTTTACGAATGTTTTAGACTTCAACATGTTAACACCCAAATCTTAAAAAATGAAATATTACAATTGTTTCCCCTACATGTGCCAGTTTACAGCGTTAGCAGGAATCTGTGCATGTGTAAACTATGAACGAGTCGCGTGGGCCGACCACATACTTTTCCGGAGTTAAAAAGAAAGCTTCCGATTCCGATCACAGTGCATCTGCACAATTATACTCAGCATATGCTTTAAACAGACATTCGATTTAATAACTACAAATATGTTCATTGTATTATGAAAAGCATATATATATGTGTGTGTGTGTAGTCCTAAACGAACATTCAGTCACCACGGAATAGTTTATGGTTGGCCATTTTTTCCTGCAGGGTTAAAAATGTATCATTTTACACTGCCACCTTGCGACAGGGAGTCCAACCTACATGACACTGTCATTTCATATAACAAGGAGAGACTGTGGTTGTGAGAACGGGTTATATGCAGTACGGGCCCATTTCAACGGGGGCGCCCTACGTAAAATGTTCACTCCACCACCGCCCATTGAGAAGGCGACAGCGGCGGGCTATGGACACTGGAAGCGGGACCCTCAAACACCTCTTGCCAACGTTCTGTGTTTGGCAGCGTAGTTGAGGTTTGGAGACAGATTTTCTCCGCTTTCCGACTGTTCACATTCAAAGTTAACGGTTTAATAACAACAACGTATAAACTACCAAAATGCACGTCTTGTTTTATTGACGCGTGCAGAACCAGCCTGAATTGAAACTACATCTAATTGTGTAAAGTAGCAGACTTGGGATAAAAGGTTCAAGATGCCGCCGAAGAAGCATCACCTAAAACCAAAAGGAGCAAATGTGTCCAGCTCGTTGGACCTCGAGTCGGAGGACATCAGCCTGGAGACCACCGTCCCCACCGCCGAGGAGGTGTCCTCCTCCGACGAGCTCCGGGACGGCTCTCAGAGGGTGACCCGTCAGTTACTGGAGAGGAAGGAGCTGCTGCACAGCCTCCAGTTGCTCAAAATAGAGCTGTCCCAGAAAAACCTGCTTCTGGATAACATGAAGGCTGACCACATGACTAAGGTACGCAAACCATAACAACAAGTGATCAAAGGGGAAAACCCTTTTATCACTTTCCCGTTACCCGTAGCACCAATTTTATAGACGTTGTTTTGATTTTCCAGGTTGAAGATTTGGAGGAGAGACTCAACGATGCTTTACATCAGAAGCAAGTGTTGGCCCTTAGGTTGGACAGTCAGCTGAAACTTGCTCAAGAGGAAAACAAGTAATATTACTATTAAATTGTTAAAATAATAAATCACTCCTAATGCTCTAGTATGTTATTGTGAATAGTGACACTGCATGTAGAGACAATGTGGCATTGTTGCTCAGGAAGCAGCAGGCGCTGCGTAAGCAGGAGATGGACACCATCATGCTGAGGCAGAAGCAGCTGGAGGAAACCAACAGACAGCTGTGTGACAAAGCTGGAGAACTGCGCCGCTCTCTAAGAAATCTGGATATCTCCCAGGACAGATACGAGGAACTAAAGGATTTACCTGAAGACAAACTGACCATACAGGAATATGTTTCTGTAAGATCAATATCCAGCCAAATAACATCACCCTTTTAAAACCTCCACCAATATAACCACACTGTGCTTTAGGTGCTTTTCTATGAAGTGGTGAATCCTCTGCGCACTCAGGTAACACAGCTCACTTTAAAAAATGGCTGTTTAAGTGAGGAACTCGAGGTACATCGAACCCAGATGAAGTCATTGATGGAGGTAGCATATGTTATTTAATTACTCCACGTGACTGAAATCTTATGCATCGCCCACACTCATGCTTAAGTTGTTTGTGGGTGCATTTAGAGCTATGAGGAGGAACGACGTCTCCGAGCAGAGCTGGAGATCAGGTGCCAAAAACTGACCCTGGATTTGGCTGACACAAAACAACTAATACAGGAAGGAGACTACCGCAGGGAGAACTATCCCACCATTAGACGGTGTGTGAATCTTCTAAATAGATTTGTTGTGTTTTATGTAATCATTAAAAATAATTAATCAATCAGTGCTCTATTTTAGTGAGCGTGACCACTTAGATGTAGAGTTGAACGAGTTGAAGAGGAGATATGAGAGCCTTGACTTAATACATACTGCTCTTAACCGAGAGAGGGACACACTCAGCAAAGAGGTACTACACTCAATGATACTGTTTTTTATAATTCTTATTATGATCTTATTTTCTGCCTTACTTTTGTTTTCCTGCAGGTGGCAACATTGCAGCAGTCAGTGACCCTGTTACAGAAGGATAAGGAGTACTTACACAGACAGAACATGGAGCTGAGTGTCCGGTGTGCACATGAGGAGGACCGCCTGGAGAGGCTTCAGGTTTTTATCATACAAATACAACATCAACAATTACACAGTGTCACTATATAATATATTCTAACATGTCACTGTAAACCCTAGGTACAATTGGAAGACTCCAAAAAGGCCAGAGAGGAGGCCTACGAGAAATATGTGACATCCAGGTTTGACATCAAACTCTTACAACTTTCACTCCACAAAAACAAAAACACATAATTTAAAAAAAGAATAATAATAAGGTTAAATATGCTAATAATAAGGTAACTGGTTGAAATAAAACTATTTTAGATTCCAGTGGAATAAAAATTTTAGATTCTTAATTCCGAACTTGCTGCAGCTGTTTTGAAGCAATATTAAGACATTACTATTGTGATATTACATTGTACTTACCTACCTAATGTGTGTATTTATCTGTTTTAGAGACCATTACAAATCTGAATATGAGGCCAGGTTGAGAGAAGAGCTGGAGAACATCAGACATAAAACTGGACAGGAAATGGACAGTCTACAGAGAGCCTCCAGGGAGATGTATGAACGCGAGAACAGGTAACACACACAAATATTTACAGTTTCATAATTTTTTTACATTTACATTTTACATTACATTTTGTATTCTATGTTTTAAATAGGAACTTGCGTGAAGCCAGGGATATAGCAGTGCTGGAGAGAGACAGAGCGATGGCAGCTGAGAGGGATACCCAGTCTAGATACGACCAGCTGCTGGAACAGTGAGTTTTGTTTATTACAATAAAATGCCACATACATCTTCTTAATTTAGTTTACATACCACAATGACAGATTCAGGAGCCTAAGTTATGGTTATGTATCTAATATGTTTATATATTATGATTGAAATATAAAAATAAAGAACACTTAATTGTGTAATGATTAATTTTGACACCTTAAACTGTTACAGAGTAGAAGCAATGTTATTTGGACAAATTCTATATAACAAGTAAACTAACTAAAGTAGATGCTTGTAAAATGTAATATTTCAAAATGTGACAATTCTGTTCTTGAATTTTCCATATAACAGATTTTAACTTGCCTAGCGTACATCATAGTCAGAGCTCCCCTTAAGTGCCTACTGAAGCAAATTTCTGCCATATTCCACATAACAGTCATAACGGAATAAATATAGAATCAAACACTTGTCAACACACTTGCATAGCTCCAACAGGACTTCTTGTGCCTCTTTAGTTCATATAAAAATGAACAGCATGAGGTTTCCATATGATATTGACCTAATCTGAGTCTGTAATCATTATCTAGATAATGGTGAATGGCCCCAGGAGAGATTTCCTGTTTAACGTGTATTCACTGCATACCTTGCTTTGAAGTGTGAAGACCAAAATTTCTGAAAAGGACACCTTGTCACAAGAGGTGCTGGTCATTTACAGTGACCCAAATGCATACACTCCTGGGCATTTAGATCACCTCTTCATTCTGTGAAACTAATTGTTAGCTTTTTAAAAGGATCAGTTCCTGGTACAGTTGAGATAGTTATCAAAGTAATGGGAACTTCACCTGTCTTAACCCTCAATCTTTTCCGGTTATTAAGTAAAACTATTTGCTCAGTCTCTTCCATGTGTTTTTTTCTTCCACTTTTTTTTGTACTCCTTAAATTATCTCTGAACTACAGACCCAATATATCCCACTTAATTATATATAAGTCTAACTGTATGGTTCATTCTGATGTATTTAATTTATCCTACAGATGTCTGTGTTTTAATTTTTTTGTACTGCTTAGAAAGTAGAAATACATTGTGGTAACTGTGATTTTGCTTCCTTTACTCTGTTGGAATGAATGAGATGGAGGATTGCTGAGGGGTCAGAGGTTAAGGGAGGGGTTAAAGGTTTGTTTGCAACCTGCTGGTGCCAGTGACCCCACTGGCTCGGTGTAAAGAAATCCTTTTATTGATCCCAATTGAAAAAACATGGTAAATTGAAATAGATTGAGACAGTTAAAATGTGAAAAGTTTAGAGCTGTCAAAGTTTCTTGTCCATGCTCCAGGCTCATTGTCTGGACTGAACACTGCCTGAAAACGTGCCTCTGGGTCACTCTATTGAAACAAGTTTCACCTCTTGCATAAAAATTGCAGCAGAAATATTAAAAGCTAAACTTTCTCTGGATACACCCAATTTTAGAATACCTTTTACCATCTTGAACTTACTCTGTTTTGCTTTTATAAGTAACACTGATTTCATTATAGTTATATGATTTATATATTGTACCACATAGCAATCAGTGCTGAGAAGTAACTGAATGCATGTACCGAGAATACATATTTCTGAATACTAATCCTGAGTAACTGTATTATGGTGCAGTTACTTTTTCATTTGGTAGTATTCAGAGTACAGTTACTTTCCTAAAATCAAAGGAATTACAGTATTTGATCATGTAATTTAGGCTTCAAACTGGACAGAATCAGTGAGAAAAACAGCAAAATATAGCATGAATAGTTTTTCCTTCTCCAGTTTGTGAAAGGAAATGCAGAACAAACAACAAAACAAATATAATGCTGTTTTTAATACTACATTGCGTCTTTTACCCTGTAATTTACATGTAACTCGATGTAAATATATTCTAAGTATTCAGAATACAGTACTCTGATTGGCCCATGCAGTGGCATACATAACAAAATACATCTTAATGGAGGTATTCTGTAACGAAACACATTTTCAAAGTATTCTCCCCATCACTGGTAGCAATTTTATATGAAAATCCTACAGTATTTTCAGTCATGTTTTGTGTGTGCCCCCACAGTCAGCAGTAGTATGTAGCTGCACTGAGTTACTACTACTCACTTGACATGCCGGTCATTTCTCCAGATCCAAACCACCAGCTGTTGGTCTTTCCAGGCTGACACACTCTCCCTTCCACTCTCTCTCTGCCGCGATCACATTCCAGCTCTGTGTCGCATCACAAGCCAGCAACGACAGATGCCAGCCACAAGCCCTTAACCCCTAACCCCGAGTAGCTCCCTATTTTTGGGGTAAAGAATGAAGTGGACAAGCCTGAAATGGCGTCAGATTATTCCACCAAATAAAAGACAGAATTAATGTCAGGGCTTTGTTGAGAAGACTTTTGAACTGTAAATTGTTAAATTTCTTCTACGTAAAATGCACCTCACTTTTGAATAGAATTCTCCCTAGTGTGATCAGTGTCATCAGTATGTTTGGACTCTCTACTTCTTGTAATTTTCAACATATTTTTCAGCTTTTCATCTCAAATTGCTTCTTGATTGGTGTAAAAGTAAAATGTATATTTTCTGTAGTTATACTCCCACCAAGTTAAAGGTGCATTGTGTAAATTTTGTGGTGGAAGGTCCGTCTTCTGCTTCTCTCCATAGAGACATTATTACTTTGTCTGGAATGTTTCACAGTATGGTATTAAACCTTTCTATGTTCATGGAGACAAAACTAGACAAGTTACAGGTCAGATCTGTGGAAAGAGAACTACACTCACAGTCAGAATTCCTAGCTATAAAACCACCTGTGACTAAAGTAGAGCTGTTTAATGTCATACTGTGGAACATTCAAAGCCAAGTGATGACATATCCATAGAAACAAACAGGTGACAAACCCCCAACCAAAAAGTTACATAATACACTTTTAAGAATTCAAACAATTTCATGAAGAGATTTTTTTTGCAGGACAGTAAAGCACAAGGAGTTATAAGAAATTGGTACAGAGCTCTCCACTAATATAAGCTACTAAGCTAATGAGCTACTAATGAGTTTTTTCAGAGTCTAAGTGTTAACGCTATAGTTTGTTTGAGGACCGAGGATGGAGCCCCCGTTAATAACAGAGGGTCTGAAGTGTGGCCCATGTGCACATGTCTATCACCGTGAGCACACAGCTTAGGACTGCGCTCTATGGATGATGAAATCCTATCAGGTCAGCTGTAATCGAGTTATTAATATTATCCAGCCAAGAATCAGCTCCACAGAGTGTGTGTATCTGTTTGTTCGCATGTCTGAGAGCTGCCTGAGGACGACCAGGAGATCATGAATAATTTGGCTTGTTAATTTCAGAAATGCTTCAATTATTGATAGACTCACTTTAATGTGAGTATAGAGAAGTATTTCTAGTATGTTGCACTGAATTCAAACTAGGCGCTTTATGTTCTATGTGTGAAACGCAGTCTGTGACAGGGCTTTAAAGTTGTACATGCTTTTCATAGTGTTTTTATGTTTGTGTGACTGTAAAACCTTTCATTCTCACAAGTGACATTACATCTACATGTGCAGGTTGCGTTGTACTTTGTCTAGGGTAACTGAGGCCACTTATGCTAAAATGCTGCTGTTAGTCGGGTCTGTTTTTGTGTGGGGAATTCTCATTCCTTTCTTTCTGAGAATCGTCCCTTTATGTGTTTGCCTCTGTATTCTGATGTAATGCTTTTATGTTTAATTACTTAATTCCTGAGCATGAGCATGGTTTTCTAACTGCCAAACCAGTGATCTGAAGTTGCACATGAACAAACATTGCTATGAGCATCATTAAAAAAGATTTAAGACTTTGCTTTCCTGCTCTGTGACTCTATGGACTCATCAAGCTGTTAGGTGTCACTAAATACATCAAACTCATAAATTGTTCATTGCGCAATGTACACCCGATTATCACTTCCTAGTTTTTTTGGCATGCAATTAACCACAAAAACTAATTTCATGTGTTTGAAAAAAAACGTTGCAGCATTTATTGGAAACCGCGGAACAAGCCTGAGCCTAACCAGGGCCTAGAGCTGAGTTTAGGTTTTGTAAAGTTGAAGACTGGGCTTTCTCAAGAGATAAAATCATCTATAACTGTCACTGGCCCTGGGAGGTTTAACATTATCCGTATTTTCTTAATATTTATTGAGCTTCTGCTTTGTTATGATCTGTCCAGGTTCAGACAGTTGCAGCTAGGAACTGACAATCGAGTGGCAGAGCTGTCCAATCAAGCCAAACTTCACAGCTTCGAGGCTGAGCGTGCCGAGATGGTCAAAGAGGAGACAGCCAAAGCCTTGGCCCAGTGCCAAGTGGAGTGTGAGAAATTGCAGAAGAAACTGGAGGTACCACATGCTTTACTACAGTAATTGTGGTCATTAAGGTCATAACACAGCCTTGATATCTGCTTATTAACTAGGCATTGATTAGCGTTTTTTACAGTAATAACATGCCATAATAACATTTTGTAATCGTAATAACACCCAAGAAAATTACAAATTATTACTCTAGTATCTCAATAATCTAAAACAATGAAAGTTTCCAAAAATGTTTGCCCTTGTAACTGTATGTCTCTCACTGGGCAGGTCCTGACTCAGGAGTTTTACCGGCTGCAGACGAGCTCGGAGAAGCGGGTGACTGAACTCCAGGCGCAGACGGCAGAACAGGCCTCGAAGCTGGAGACCTACGAGCGGCTGGAGCAGGAGCTGGACCAGGTCACCATGCAGGCAGCTGAGAGTATGCATTCACTGTTTCATTACACATCGTTACAAAGGGAACAGGTAATGACATTACAAAAAATAACCATTTAAGTGTATGAATTGCGCTTGTGTTTCTAGTTGAAAATGAAGAAGAGGCTGAGAGAGTGTTGTTTTCCTATGGCTATGGTGCCAATGTCCCCACAACAGCAAAAAGAAGGCTAAAACAAAGGTACATTTTTATTTTATTTTAACTATGCCATTGGAGGATACTGAAAATATCTGTTTGTATAAACTGTAATTTGTAACATTGATTTATAGTTTGAACCTTTCCTCCAGCGTATACTGTTGTTGTGTCCCTGGGAAAGACACCCATACTACCAGATGACCCATGGCATCTAAGTATATAAAAATATAAATGTTTTCTATAGAATATATGTAGTAGTGTTTTCCCTAGGCCTGTCACAATAACACATTTTGATGCACAATATATTGCTACAGACAAATACCACAAAAAACGATAATATTTAAACTACTATATATATATAGTACATTGTATAAGTAAAAGCCATGAGCGTACCAGTGCATAATGAACCAATAATCAGGTATAGAAGTTATTTATTCTACCCTCTATATCTCAAATCTTATAGTTCAGAAAAATGGCAAAAATCTCCCCACCTTTGCAAGAAAACATATACATGATAAATACTGAGTCCCAAAAATTATTCTTCCAGCTTTCATGTATTAAACAGTCAATATAGCAATTATTGTGACAGGCCAAGTTTTTCCCATGAACATAAACCTATCTTGTGGAGGAGTATACATAACCGTGTGGTGCCAAACAGGCAAACAAACATTAATATTATGGAAACAAGAGTGAAGAATTAGTGTGCTCTTGTTGATGTTATGGTGTTTTGGAAATTCCATGGGTGCTTTTTTTTTTTTTTTTTTTTTTCTTCTTGTAGCGTTCACCTAGCCCGGAGGGTGCTACAGCTTGAGAGACAGAACACAGCACTGAGGAGAGAGCTCGATGCAAACAAGGCACAGGCTGGACAAGTATCTCAAGAGGTACACACACACTTACACACACACAGGGACATGGGAGATGGTGTTCACATGTTAATATCAACCATGGATGGAAGCAAGTTTGCATTCTGTGCTTTCAATAATAATAATAATTATTATTATTATAATAGTAGTAATAATAATAATAGTAATAGCCTGTCACAATAATTACTATGTTGACTTATCGTTTAGCATATGTTACATGGAACAATCTTTTTTGGGGTTCAATATTTATCGTGTCGCGTGTCGAATTTTTCTATGTACTAGTGGGATTTTTTTTTTCGTTACTACAATAATATTTGAGCTGTAGAAGGTTGAATTACGAACTTCTTTAACTCATTATAGAATATTATATTATATTATTATAGTTTATACAAACAAACCTTGTAAGTGGTGCAGCTTGTTTTTTTGTTTGTTTGTTTGTTTTTTTTACAATATTACACATTTAGACTCATATTGGGGTCTAAATCTGCTTTATGTTTGGTTTCAATATTATTGTTCATCATCTTATATTAATTCAGCAATATATAGTACTTCAAAATTAGTTATCATGACTGACCTAACTGTAGGTCCTATAACACATACTAAACATTCTGTGTATCATCCTGCTTTAAGTCTAAAATTTACACCTCATTCTTATTTCAATATTCTGCCATTGGCTTTCTACCAGATGACATTTCTCCAGGTTTGGAAGTGACACGAGTACACTGACTGGTAATACCTTGTAGTTAAGCTAAAATATTGCATGACTCATTTGAGCAACCATTTTTATCCACAATTTTAGAAACATAAATTACAGTTATTTCCCAGCCTTTATTAAAGTTATAATGATTTATTTATTAAAGGTGCATAGAGCAGGGTCAACCATCATGGAGATGATGTTGCTTTGGCTGGAATTTCTCACACTATGATATTAAACAAATTTATTTCCATGGAAACAAGCACCATGCCAGTTAACAGGTCTGGTTTGTGGAGAGGTGGACTGGTGTACAGCAGAACACATAATTTTTCAAGGTATAGTTTTATTGTAAAAACCGTTAATTAAATAATAAGCAAGTTTAATGTCATACTGTGGTAAATTTCAGGGAACGTAGACTCAGACAAACTTTACTGACACACAAGGGAAATTACTTGGACACAGTAGCTGACACAATCAGAATATATTATAATAACAAAGGGTGAAAAATATAAATGGTAATAAGGAATTCTAAATAAGTGCAAAAAATAGCAAGAGACTGGTGTCAAATAAAGCATAATTATATAAATGCATATGTACAAGTAAAAAGAAAATGGAAAATAAGTTATAAAAATATCTCCGTCGTATATATCTCCATGGACACAACCAGGTGCTAGACTTGCACCGGATAAGTTATGTAGTGTACCTTTAATGAGTCATAGCGATTCTCCATCACGAGCCACCCACCTTCTCATACAACATCTGGAGATGCTTCAAGTATGTATCGTACCCTTTAGATACAATACCAAGAAAAAAAAAGAAAAAAAGAAATAAAAATCAGCGCTTCTTTTTTGTTATGTAATTTTGTGTTTGTACAGTTTGTGAACACCCCATTAGAGATGCTTGAGGAGTTATTGCTACAGGAATCACCAGCCATGGATGCTTTGTCTGTTGAACAATAAAGCAAGCCAGGGCTTTTCACAGAATTGACAGTTTGTTAGGAGTAGCCTGCAGACAGTGAGAGCTTTACATGAGACAGAAGACAGGTTGGCTTCTCAGTACTTGTCACACTTGTTGACACAGGCGAAACAGTGCCAGAAACCGTGACGACCATCTCTTCAATCATCCAACTGCTAGCTTACACCAATCACTAAGCCTTTTGTCAGCATACCATGTGCATTGACTTTAATTTTAGCAGTGAGTTCCTTTTCTTTTTTTCTTCTCCATACAAGTCACATGTACGCTACTCGTGTGAAAATCTGCCAGTGCCTTTATTTTGTCGAAATCATGTTTAAAGTATCAGAAATGTACCTCACCTCAGTTTGTCTGGACTCTCTACTTCCTGTAATTTTTAACATATTTTTCAACTTTTCATCTCAAATTGCTTCTTGATTGGTGTAAAACTATATATTTATAGTAGCTGTTATCATATCACCAAGTTAATGGTGCATTGTGTAACTTTTCTGGTGGAGGGTCCATCAAATGCTTTTCTGTATGGAGATGTTACTGCTTTGGAATGTTTCAAATTATGGTATTAAACATTTCATCCTCATAGCCAAACTAGACCAAGTTACAGGTCAGATCTGAGGAGAAACGACCCCGCTCACTGTCAGAATCCCTGTTTTTTAGATATTTTTGAGCTTTAAAACCACCTTTAATTTAATGAATGTAAGGTATAGCTGTTTAATGTCATGCTGTGGAACATTCCAGGTGGAAGAATAACATAGAAACAAACAGGTGACCCTTTTTGTTTCAATGAAAAAGTTATATAGTACACCTTTAAGTCAAAATTTGAGAATGATAAAATCTGTCAGACTTTAATTAATCTGAGCAAACTTTAAAAAATCAGCTGACTTAAATATTAACAGTGAGTTCCTTTTTTTTTTTTTTTTTTTTTTTTTTTTTTGTCATCCATTAGTCACATGTACGCTACTCGTGTGAAAATCTACCAGTAAGATTTCAGGTTGAATGACTGGCAGTTCAGGCAGCCACTGTGTTTGCTTGGCCCTGCTACTACTACAGTGCAGCAGTGATTGTGCAATGAGAAAAGGAAAAGCTAGTCATATTTAAGTCCTTATAAGCCGGGTATTCAACTGTCAGCTGTGATTGACTGGCATTTATCTGAATTCTTCATGATTCATAGAGTATGAAAAGAAAAGGAGTGAAAAATCATATGTCCCATTCACATAGGCCATGGGTGTTAACCGCTTAACCACCCACACAGATATTCTGACTAACTATTGTCCTGCAGCTCCCACCCAACAGTGTGCACTGGCTTTATAGCTGTAAAATGGGATTAATGTGTAACATGCTCTTTTTATATTTTGTCCATTGATTCTAAAACAAGATGTTGTGCAACTATACAGGTGTCTCACGTAAACAAAATATAAATTGTTATTAAATTAGCTCACCATGGAGCCAAATTTGTACATATAAATCATTCTTTATATAGAATGTCAAAGAGCCTGTGTTACGATATTTTCACATTTATGTTACAATGTTGTTTCCTCATCAAGAACATGCCTGGAGTTGTGGTTTGTTTCATTTAATACACAATTCCTGCATATTTAGGCTGAGTTCTTCTCTCAAACAGATAACACTCCACCTTGTGATATCATATGGTAATACAGGAAATGCTCCACTGTGTTTTTAAACTCCATGCATCTTTACTAGAATCATTTGGATAATTTCAGATAAGGAAAACTACCACTTCATGACATCACAAGATGGAGATGTAGACAGAATAAAAATAAATGGTTACTCAAACATGTGTGAATGAAACAGGTTTTTGATAGGATAACAACATCATAACGTGCCTTAAACCTCACAAGAAGTCAGTAATGTGTAATTAGTCTATATTTACTAATGAATTTTTAGATTTATCACATTTCAATTAAAAGAAGCTATTACCTGCCTATTTACATTAATTAAATTCTATAATACATACAAACTTATTTTAATGTAATGATCTATCCAACCAAACTCAGATAGAGTCAAGACATTTGGTTGTGAACCAGTTGTGGGAAAAAAAATGTAAACATAAATTGCAGTTATAAATAATTACTCAAGTGTTTGCAATTATAATATGTAGACCTGTAATTATTGTCTACTTTCTACTCTATAGTGTAATTATTTTAATTTTATCTTTAAAAGACATTTAAAGGTAACGCCAGTTAAACTTTGCCATATAGGCCTCAAATTGTTTTTGGATTAAATTATGTTAAAATTATGGTATGTAAGTTGTTTTTAATTTCTTCAGGGGTTTCTCGCTACCGCTGATGCTTCATCTTGAGCCAAACCTTTTCCATATTTTAATTAATTTGAACTAGCTTACAGTTGTGCTGCAAAAAACAAGACCACATTACTTTGATTGTAGCTTTTTTGGTCTGCTTTTGTATAAATGATTAAATTAAATTAATTAACTTCTTTTTTTGTTTGTTTTTGGCATATTGTTTGTTTCGATAACATATATTAATTAGCATATATTATTATTATTAATATTAATGTTGATAATAATAATAATACATGCCGCTTTTCTAAACACTCAAAGACATTGTACAAAGAATATAAATTAAAATACATAAGAATACATATTAAAAAATAACAAAAAAACAAGGTAATGAGACAAAATATTGGCATGACTTAAAAGCAACTTGGACATTAAAAGTGGTTCTAAATAGATGGGTTTTAAGCAGTTTTTTGAAGGTGGTGAGTTCAGCACAGCCATAGGTTTGCTAAGGTAGTGAGTTCCAGAGGGTGGGTGCACCGATGAAGAAGGCTCTGTCTCCCCAGGTTTGGAGTTTGGTCATACAAGGGAGGGAGAGCAGCACACTGCATGAGCTTCTCTTCCTGGGGTCACTTTAAATTTTAGTTTCAGCATAAAATCATTTAACTAAAAATTACTACATTTAATTTTATTACAATTACATTTACACCAGTACAGACTGACTTGCCACTTTCTGTAAAATTAAAAACACAGTTCCTGGAAATGCAATAATAATAATGATTCCAGGTACAACATGAAATTGTAACAATGTCAGCTCACACTTGCCTTTTTCACTTCGTAAAGTGTCCAAAATATGTTTTATTTTAACTTAAAGCCTAAAATGGACTGGCCTTACACTATATCTCAAACCTCATTCAAACGTAGTCTTTGTGCACAAGTTTGGACTGTTTTGAAGTGTCTGTTTATCATATGTGTTGTATAAATAAAACTGATTTGGATTTGGACAGTTTACATTTAATTTCCCTACCCGCCCGTTCACCTTGAAAAGAGAACACCTCGTCTCTGACACGTGAGGAGAGAACAGTGTGTCTGATTCTGAGCTGTAATTAAATTGTGTAATGAGTGCTCATGTTTTTAGTATTTGAGATATAATGTAATTACTCGTAATTATTTACTATTTACTGTGTGTACATTTATGTTTCAGCTTTTGGCAGTTAACCAGCTATTGCAGCAGACACAGCAGCCCTACAGCTACCTGATCGAGACGGTGAAGCAGCGCGAGGCTCAAATCAGCACTTTGAAGGAGCGCATAGCGTTACTTGAGGACGATGTCAAGTACGAACACTGTAGATAAAAAAAAAAAATCTGTTATAGGCAAACACTGAACTTAAATGACAGTGGTTTTTGACTGGCATCCTGTCACGCGCAACAAAATTAGTAAGGTGATTCAGCTAACCCATCATCAAGCAGAACACCCTGAGGCATCTTTACTTTCACCTTATCTAACACGGGGTGACCAAAGTGAATGTTTAGCATATTTGAGAAGTTTTAAAGTTCAAGGTAGTTGGCCATTGAGTTACCTGTTTGTGGAAAAAAAGATGAAGGCATTGTGTTTAATATATTTGTGAAACAAATTAAATGAAAAGATTGAAAATGAATACTAATAAAATTAGCAGACTAGCATAAAAGCAGAAGCACACTGGTGGTCAATTATAGTTTTTAATGCATAAAATCAGTTCTGTTGTTTTAATACTGACCTAAATCCCTCCTGATTCCCATTCCAACTTTATCTGAGAAATATTTGAACTGACACTTGGCAGGTTTTCTCTTGCTGCTCTCCTCACCTGAGGCAAGCAAGGTAGCTTTTAAAATGTCATATTTTTCAAACTTGCCATCCGACTCTTCCACTAGTGATAAAATACACTGTCATGATTTACAATGCAGATACTTCAAAGTTTTCCTTTAGCCAATTCTGAACAAAATATTTACATTATACTTCTTAAACAGGTAATTGCGTGTCATAACAGGCATTTATATACTGTAAATAAGAGGAGGTTGCTAGCATTAAACTTTTAAAGCTCTGATGCAATATTTACAGAATCACAATGAGCACCTGTGTCTAAGGTTACAAGACCCATGGGTTTATAGCCTTTTCTTGAGTGCTCAGTTAAATCTTAGATGACTACACAGCTGTTATTTTAAGATTTGCAGATGATTTGCTTTTAAGAACCTGACTACACGCTCCTGCTTGTACTCCAGTCGCCTGTGGTAAGAACAGTGGAAGGAAGGAGTTATTAATCTGATAGGAAGACATTTTGAAAGGCTGAATAATTGTTTTTATTTTAAAGTTACATAAACCATTTGTACTTCTGAGTCCACCAGTGGATGTGATTATAAACACAGATAAGTAAACTTGTAAATGCATGAGTGCTGAAGTTTTCTGGGAGCAGTTTCTCTTCCATAGCTTAAGTTGGAGAAATAAGCAAAAACATGCCATGTGAAATTACCAAATTACCAGACCAATGACCTGAGTTAATAAGTTTAAATGTGTTTGTGATATTCTCTTCCTTAGCTCTTTGAGGAGAGAAAAGTCAACATTGCAACAGGTGAAAAACAACATGGCCGCTGATCTGGAGAGACTCCTCAACCACCGAGAGGTACACATGTGCTTGTCTTGGCAGTGTAATAATGTCTTCAGTTTCTGTTGCATTGTGTAGTATTATAGTTTCTGTTTTTAATGCACCCTGACTGGCCCAGTCTCTTGGACTGTTTAAATGGTGAGAAGCTGGTATATCCAGCAGAACCTGCCTAGAGAATTAAAAGATTAATTGGCAAAACCAACATGTCACAGCATATGTCCACAACTTTTGCAGTTGGACCACTTATCTCTTGTCTTTCATTCCATGTTTGAATATCCACATTGGGTTATTGCACATGTGTTGCAGTGTTTCCCTGAAGATTTTGCCTGTGTGCGAGTCCCAGGGCCAGCCGTTTGCTGCCTGAAGTATGTGCCCTGTCACAGACAGCTGTTGCTCAGCCTGGCTGGTTGAGATGCTGTGTGTTGTGTGTGTGTGTGTGTGTGTGTGTGTGGTGTGTGTGTGTGTGTGTGTGTGTGTGTGTGTGTGTGTGTGTGTGTGTGTGTGTGTGTGAGTGTGTGTGTGTAACATGCCGGGGCTCATGTCCTCAGGGCTGATAAATAGAACCAGAGTCCTCTGCCCTGCTGCCACCCCAACACACCCCTGAGCTTGTCAAGCTCATCTGGGATTTCTTGAGCTGAACTGTGGGGCTTTAGCTTTGTAGATAGATTTTCTGGCTTTCATATTAATTAGCTTTCCAAGTGTGTGATCCAGTATTCAGCAGTTAAGTTGATGATGTGATTTTTCTTGGATGTTTTTCTACAGGAGTTAGCTGTAATGAAGCAGGTTCTGATTAGCATGCAGTCTGGTCACAAAGAGGAGTTAACCATGTTGAGCGCAGACAAAGCGGGCATCAGAGATAGAGGCTTAAGCAGGTCCGAGGAAGAGTCACCCCTCAAACCCAAACCTACAGTCTTTGTAAGTGTCTGTCTCGACTACACCCTCACATGAGTCACTGCACTTGAACCTGCCTCCACCAAGTTTAGACAAACAGCACTTGGCAGGACATTCAATGCAGTTGATAAATCGTTTTTTATTGTTCACTTTATTAGCTTGCATGATATTCGTTTCTATCGCAGCTAACGTGTGAAACAAAGAACACAGAACAGTTAAACATGACATTTCTATGACCTTTTAATAAAATAAAATTAGAAACATAAAATTATGAAATAATAATTATTTTTTATATTTTCATTCCAGACCAAGAAAGAAGCCCCTGGATGGTACGCTAAAACAAAGCAGAAACCTAAATGACCAGTGCAGTGTTGACATGAGATTCCTTTTATACATTTTTGTTTTTATTAACTTAATTTTAGCATTATAAAACAGAAAACATTATTTTAACTGTTAAGTGATTATGTTTTTATTAAGTGAGAATGTTGTGATAAATTGGTCATAGTATTTTTCACAAGGTACACAGCCTTCACTAACAAAGAAAAGAATTCCTGATTCTTGGCAGTCCACTCTTTTATTAGGTCTGTCTATCATTAGAACCTCATCTTTTCCAGATTTGCAAGTACGCTTGGGCCTACAGACAAACCCATCCAAGCATCACTGATTTTAGTTTCCACAAGTCAAATCCCTGTTCTGAATAGAAACAGCAGACATATCAGCATTTCTGTATTTTGCACCTTAGTATTATTAGTGTCAAATTTACTGAAAGGAATGAGTTTGACAGAGTTATTTTTTTATGTACTTTTGATTCACTGCATGAAGCCATGAGCCTTTCTATTCGGTGCATCAAATAAAAAAACTAAAATGTGGCTGTATAGTGTATTTATAGTATGATATTTGTAAATAATTTGACTGTGTATTGGTCTGGCCATGTCCTTTTTCAGCTGTATGGTAATAAAAGGGAACCCTGCTGTGAAATTTTACACACCACTGACTTCACAATGAAATGACTCAATTTATGTTTTGTTGTCCAAAGCGCAATGGCATACGGGAAAAGGATAGGGTAGCTATAGAATGGGACAAATGTGACCATTAGGAAACCGTCCTTAAAGATGCGCTATGCAGCTTTTCTGGTGGAAGGTCCACCTACTTTTCTCCATGGAGATGTTCTTGCTTTGCCTGGAAGCTAATTAGTTTTTGTTTTTCCTCGAGTGAAGCAGAAAAGAGGGAGCCACTGTCTGTGTGAATGTTCATGTATGTTAGTATGTTACCATTGTATGACATTAAACATATACATTTAACATTTATTAATTATGGGTGTTTCTATTGCTCAAAAATACAAAAGTTTCTTGTGTGAATAGGGGCGACTCTCCACAGATCTGCATTGTAATGTAGCGTAGTGCTGTAACCTGCATGTCACCCTTGTGTTTAATCTACACTATGAAACATTCTAGACAAAGCAATAATATTTCTATGGAGACAAGCAGGTGGCGGACCTCCAATAGAAATGTTACACAGTGCACCTTTAAGTTATAGTAAATACAAATATATAGACTTTGGGAATATGCTGTCAGAACCCAAACGATTACCTTTTTTATGCAGAAGGGAAAAAAATGCCTTCATAATAGAAAAATGTATTAATGCATAAATTGACCTGACTTTTAATGTGGATCAATTGCATTAACCTTCGCTGCCCCTGTGTTCACTGCGGTTTGCGTGCTTTGCGCTCACTTTACGGCACAGATAATGTATTTAGATGGCGCGCAGGGCGGTGGCCGGTGCATGAATGATCAAAGGTTTTTTAAAGATTCAGGAGGCGGTGCGTGCGCTGTATTTACTCTGGACAGCCCCGCCCTGCAACATGACATAGAAAACTGCAAGGAGTCAGTGGAGGGATGAAACCAGAGGAAGGAGATGTAGCAGACAGCCGCAGACGCACGACTCCTCTTTGAGCGTACACCTCTGTAGCATCATCACTTTCCCCCCAACTCCCCCGAGCTCATTTGTGCTGCGTCGGAGCTTCATGGCCGCGACATTGACGATGAACGGCGGCGGGGGGCAGGAGGAGCCCTTCTATACGCTGCAAAAGTCTGGTCTACCGGTGGGTTTTCCTCTGGAGGACTCCGCGCTGTTCGGCTTGGACTCCAAGATCCCGGACACAGACAAGAGCGGCCAAAACGACTACTCGCAGGTATGTCTTTTGGAAATTAGTAGTCAGCACGGGCGATGGAACACCGTGTTTTTCATTGAATGGGCGTGGCAGACGTGCTTGTTTTGTTTCGCTTCAATAATTCCTTTTAAATGGATTATAGACTACTTTGTATTTAATCATAAGGGAACAAACGCACGGACATGGATGTTGCCAGTGGCAGGCTGGCGCGCGGCTCAGCCTGTAAACGCATTCTTCTCCGCGTGTTTCGCCCTCCTGCCAGTTGGTCCAGCAGTTGTTGGGCTCTTTTTGGCGTCCGATCTGACTATCATACCATGCTGACAGCAACTGACTCCGCAGCCCCCTGATTCAAAGCTCCCTCCGAGCTCAGTAGTCCAGGCAGAAAACTTGTCAAGCCTAAGAGGAGGGAGGTCTCAACAGCTGTTCGGATCAGGAGGCTAGAAATAGCAGCCATGCCTCAGTACTGCTGCTGCTGCTGCTGCTGCTGCAGGCAGGAGGCATGGGTGTTTCCCCATTGCCTTTCATGTTGCACTGCCAGCCCTGGCTACTGCAGGCGTCAAGTGTCTGTCACATCCCTGTTCACTTACCCTCCAGGTTTATGTCAAAAACAATATTACAAATGTCATATTATTTGCATTTGCATACAGCCATGATCTTATAGAGTACTTCTTAACGCTCAGTGTTTTGTTTTTAATGTGCTTTATCCCTGCTGGGTTTGAGATGACCTCGCAGCCAGAAAGGGAATGTGGCAGGGACTTATTGATGACTACTTGATAAATGCTTTTGCAGTGACCGTATTATCAAACCTGTCTCCCTTACATTGAGGTCTGAGCTCTGTTTCTTCTTGTGATATTAACACAGTTTGTTTGTTTTTTTCCACAGACAAAGTGTGAACTGGACAGGTATCTTTCTTTTCTTCAACCATCAGGAGACGGCCAGCAAAAGCCCACCCGAGAGCCCGTGTCTGTGATGGACCAGTTCTTCAGTGATGATCAGACAGGTGCCCCCTATACTCTCAACATGAACCTGTATCTCCAGGACGTTGCCTATTTGAGAATGGGCTTGTGTCAGCAGGTACGGCTGCCTCAGGACCAAAACCACTCCACTGTGCCCCAAATCAAAACAGAGCCCACTGCCCAGTGCTTCTCTGCTCATCTCCCCCCTCAGTGCCCCAGCAGCACCAGTAACTGCAGCCCCGGACATGCTGCCAGTGGGATGCCTATGGACATGACAGGTTTACCAGACTTTAGTGTTTTTAACAACTCTCGAAATGTTTGCAACGGTTCAGGCTCTGAGGTGTTTATTAAACAAGAAATGCCCCCTCAGTTTGAACAACATGCGCTCCACGACAACGGCAGCTCTCTGTTTCAGCTTCTGAACTCCGGTCTGGAACATCACCATGGAAACATTATGGAACATCATCATTCTCAGATGCCCACAGGACCATCACCTATTCACACACCTTACCACGAACAGCAGAGTACGAAGCCTGAATATTGTGGCCTTAACAACGGGTCATACACACGTCCTGGTGCCCACACACACCCCCGTTTCCTCCAGCAGCCCGCCTACCTGCCCCCCTCCCCACCCAGCTCCGAGCCTGGCAGTCCTGACAGGCAAAAGGAGCTGCTCCACACATTGTCTCCCCCTCCATCATATGCTGCCTCCATCGCCTCCAAGCTTGCAGGGAGCAGCCCTGGCCTGGGCCACAGCCCTGGTGCTAACCTCTCCCTGCCTCATCACTCTCCTGTGCCCGGGCCAGCTCCATCAGGACCCCCTCAAGCACCACAAAGCACTCCAGCTCCCTCTCAGACCACCATGCCAGTCAGATATAACCGGCGGAACAACCCTGATCTTGAGAAAAGAAGGATTCACCATTGTGATTACCCAGGTATGCTCTAATAAAACTGTTCTCGCTGCAGTTCAAACAAAGTACCTTGTCACATTCTAACTAAACCACCAGTTATACAGCTCATGTTACATGTTACACAAATACATCATCCTTAAGTTTGTGAGGAGGAATAGTTGAACCTAGAAACTAGAAATCCTGCAGTATAAATTTGATAAAAAGACGAGACTGTATCTTCTGCCACCTGTGTGTCTTATAGTTTGAGAATCGAGTTTGATATTGTCACTTGGCTGACTCCTCTCATGTTTTCCAAAGTTCAAGTTATCTTTCTCCAAACTCTGAGTCATATTGTGATTGTGTGCCAGAGGAATGACTGAAGGTGGTACATGGCACATTTAACTTGTTTGGCAATGGGAGTTCCTGTCACAGCCTTATAATTAAATATCTGCTTGCAGAACTACAGTGAAATATTCCATCTTACATAGACCAGTACTTTTGATAGAGTGACTGCTGAGGCTTTGTCGGCATTGCTGGTGTCAGTGTGTGGGTGCATGTGTTTGTGTTAATTAGATAGTCCTGTATGTCAGCCCAAGCTTAAATACTTATCAGATGTATTTAACCTGACTGTGACCAACTGGTATCACAGACTCTCAAGCACTTTCTGCCCTTAGTCGTTTGAGCTGTTTTTCCCACACACATTTGCAAACAGGCTCCACTGAATTTGCATGCTCTGAAGCAAATTAAAGGGCTTATTTGGCAAAGCTTGCTCAAAAGCTACAGCTAAATCTACTATAGCTATATGATGTGCAGCTACTTGTAGGATGCGTAATGTCAACTAGCCCGCAGCAGTGTGTAAAATGGGATTCAGTGGAACTTCTTCGTACAAGTCTGCGCTTGTAAACCTTGGGATGTATTCCCCAATTTAATATTTATTTAATGCGGTGACTACTCTTCAGAGCTTAGTATAGTTCACAAACATACATGTATTAGTTACATTCTGACCTACAGCTGTTTTATGCTGACAAATCATCAGCATTTTAGGTGTAAATATTGACTATATATTGATTGTCTTTTCTACTCTTTCTACCTTTTTTAAGTTTAAAACAACATTATTTCCACATACAGTATATTTCAAAGACTTCTCCCAAGAAATGCAAAACAAACTCTGTTTTTCATTAGCTCACATTTCTCCCATTCCACAGCTCGGTGTCTTGGTTATTTCATATTGCAAATAGATTATGAATTACTCACAGTAAGGATCTGTTTGTGTTTATCTGTGTTGTCAGGCTGCAAGAAGGTTTACACCAAATCATCTCATCTGAAAGCCCATCTCAGAACACACACGGGTAAGTAAGAGATTCTTCCAATTAATGTCACTTTTTAAAATGGACTCGTCAAGAAATGTCGGCTGCCCACGAGACTTGTATTTCCATATCTGTACTGGCACCGTGTTGCTAGGCAGAGTGTTGTGTTCTTGGCATGTGTGTGTAAATGTATCCTACCTCATTCCCATCCTCTGCCCAATATACTATTCCATTAAAACAGGTGGAAGTAACACACTTCTGCCAGAGGGATGACTCTGTAGGTATGTGCTCAGTGTGAGACGTGTGGTGCCATCTCTCTTGGGACAGAAGTTAATCTGTTCCATGTTAATGTTGAAAACTTTTTTGCAGTTTCACATTATTGTATTTGCACTCACACTTACAGATATGATCTAGTTTTATTCACTTATATTTTCTCCAGTTGGAAATTGCAAGTGAACAGTTAGTCTCTAAAAGTGATTGGTCCATCTCAGAGCAGCTTACACAACAAAGATGACGTTTATTTCTCCACATTCCTCTCCTAACTTGTTCTTCTTATTGGTATAGAACTTGTGTTTCCAAGTGTGCCAAGGACAGCGCTGTGGGTGTGCGTGCTTAGCATCTATCTATTGAAAACATGACATGCCAATTACAACTGGCGTCATTCATGCTGCAGGCTGATTGTGGTTATTGCAGTTATTAAAGCCCACAAGACAAGAACACGACATGTAAAGAGATGTGCGCGGCGCTGGCATCAATCTCTATCACTTTTTTCTTTTACATTGTTGTCTTCTTTCTCTCTGTTGTGTGCCCCCCACCTTGAGTTCCACCCTGGTCCACTCTTTCAATCTTTGTCTGCTCCTTTCTTTCTCCCTTTCTTCACATTGAACTGCTCTGATGCACACACACACACACACACACACACATGCACACACACACAAACACACACATACATCCGCACACACCTGTCAGTAATCTGTGTGAGATGATTCCTAATGCATTTGTGCCCGGTGGGAGTTCCCACTCTAATCTCCATCAACATCCATTACCCTGATTATTTGTGTGCGGCGAGCGTGTGCCTGCGCCACTTTGTGTTGTAAAAAACAGGCGCTCCTCCCTCTCATTCCTCACTCTTCCCTCGTCTGTGTTGTTTGGTTTTTCTTCTTAATACAAAGAATTTGTAACAACTTAATTTGTTTTTCAAAGATTTCAATTCAAATTCTTATAGGTCTGCTTATTCCATAGCATTTGCTTCGGCATGTTTGCATAAAGCCATCATCAAATGACATCATACAACCTTAGGTAAATTGGACAAAACAAATAAGAACTATTAAAATGGATCATTATTCAAATAATAGTGGGTTTATTGCAAAGCTACAGGTTGCAGCTGCCTGTAAGTCAAAGGGCTCATTAACAGCAGTTAGTATTATTATTTTAGTTGGCAGAAGTTTGACAAACATAAATCATAGATGATAAGGCAGAAAGGTTTAAGTACGGTCTCCAAGTATCTGTTTGAAGGCTGCGTAGAGCCTGCAGAGGAGCAGTGTCACAGGTTGAAGCCCCTTTAGTTGGAGCTGCTCATTGAGACACATGATTGACGAGTATTTCGTGGGAACCTGTGCAGTGCTGCTGCATGTGCACAGGCTGAATGCCTGTGACTGCCTTATGACTCTTGTCAAAAGACTGGATCTTTCAGATAAGCCTGTTTTCCCAGTTCCTCCACCCAAATGCATGAATCATTGTTAACTTAAGGAGTTTGAATGCTTTAATAATAATGGCCTGCTGCTCATTGGCAACTGAAGCATTTCACTTATCATTACTCCTGTCATTAGACTTATGCCATTGTAACTCAAACTGTTATTTTAGGACAACAGTGTCATTGTTGTGTTTCTTGCTGTGCAGGTGAGAAGCCGTACCGGTGCACATGGGACAGCTGTGACTGGCGCTTCGCTCGCTCAGATGAACTTACACGGCACTACAGGAAACACACCGGAGCGAAGCCTTTTCAGTGCGCTGTGTGCTCGCGCTCCTTCTCCCGCTCGGACCACCTTGCCCTGCACATGAAGAGGCATCAGAACTAGTGTTACAAACACCACCACCCTGGTGCTGCTACCATGATACTAGAACTGTTGATCTTAATCAAAAATGGAAGTTTAGGAACAATAACAATGGCCAGATTGACTTCTAGGCTCTTAATTCGTAGATGCATTTGCTTTTGCAATACTACCAGTCAAAGCAAACTGTGTCACCAAATGTCTCCATAGACTGTTTTTATGACTGGAATGAAAGCACTTACATATTTTGTATATTTTAATTTTGATCAGGCTTTTTTATTTTTTTATATTTAAATAAAACTTTTATCAGACTAGCCAAACCAAATCTTTGTTTACCTTCAGGTTTGTTAGTTTGTTTAAATAACTGGAAAATTCAAATGTCTATATTTTCCTTTGGTTTGCACTAAAATCTGTAATTACATAGGCCTTGTCGATACCCAAGTTTCTCTTTCACCAGTGAATGATCATTATCACTAACGGACTGAATTTCACAAGAGCACTCAAATCACCCCACGGCAGACATAAATCACTGTTGTTCTGATATTAAAAATTGAAGGCTTTGATACTCAGGAGAGATAGAGAAGGGAGTCCGAGAGGGGAGAGCTCAGAGTGGGAAAGATTTTTGATTTTAGATGGATCTGAGGACGACTGCGAAGGAAGATGGGAGAGAGATGGTTGTTAAGAGCAGCAATTAGCGATTAATTATTTAGTTTGTCTTTCACTAGATGTCCACGCTGGGAAAATGTCAACAGAAACCTTAGACATACAGTCTTCATTGATATAATTGAGATCCCAAAGTCATTCGAATAAACTTCACATTCTAAAGTCAAAACCATCTGATGCTATTGCATGTTGGTAGTATGAGACAATACTGTAGATTAAGCGCTATACACAAGGCAGTAGACAGGAGAGGATAAAGGGGTATGTTGTCCTGGGCCCCAGGATTTTAGGGGCCCAGAATTTGACTCACTTCCTATTAATTTATATTAGAGGGGGGGGTCCCATGTGTGGCTTCTTCCCCTGGGCCCCCAAATCTCTGTCGACGGGCCTGGCTATACATTATTGTTGTTAATTGAATTGATGGAAGAGTTTAATGTGGCAAGATGGCAATGATCACGTTTTATGCAATGTGGAAGCCTCTCTCTCTAATCTCCTGTTTATATCTGGAGATTATTAAAAAAAGAAGGGACTATGTTTAAAGAAGATAACATTTACTGTAGTTTTTTTTTGTTTTGTTTCTTTTAAACCAAAGTATCAGCTCATGCATCAAGAACTTTTAAGTGCCTCCTGTGTTTCATTTCCGTGGTAGCAGATTTGAGAGGATTTTTAAAATGTGGTGCTGTAAAGTGATGGCTCTAGGTTACTTGCTCATCCTGGTACGAACTTGGTACAATTTTAAATGTTCATTGCATTTCTAATAAGTAGAAAAAAACTGACTGTCTACTAACTTGTATTGGGTTTTTGTGGGCCAATTTGAAATGGACAGCTAATTGTGTAGTTTGGGTCCCCATTAAAACTGTACATGTTTCGTCACTGCAGGTAGTATAAAGACAATATCGCACTGTAATGTTTATTAATAAATCTGATTATTTATTTGATAGTGTAGAAGTGGGGGTGCATCAGATACACTGTCTTTCTCCCCAGCAAAAATGCCTTAATGTAAATATATGCACTGTAAATACTATTGATTTTTGTTGAAGCTCTTTTGTCATATGATTTTCTAAACAAAAGGGCAAAAGTTAAAACTGCCCTGCATCCAAAAAATTGAGCCCTATTTTGTCTTTTTCTTGTCTAAAATATTTTGATGCCATTGTTTTATATTGTCCTTAAAGCAATTTATTTTGTAGATTCTTCTTCTTCCATGGTAAAACGTTCCAAAGACAAAAGTTGTTTTTCATCAACTGAGTGAATCTGATCCTAATAAAGTCAACTGACACTTTTTACATGTGTGTTCATATATTTTACACTCAAATTTAGATTTAAAGGTACACTGTAACTTTTCTGGTAGGGGATTTTCCTGCTTCCTGAAATATTCTACAGTATGGCATTTAATTTACCTATCTTTATCAAAACAAGCAGGCCACATCACCATGTTTTGTGGTAGTTTTGAGAAATAAAAACATGTAGCTGAATAAATACAAGTTATATTTGTTTAATGCCATACTGTGGGACATCCAAGGCAAAGCAATAACATCACTGGTGGAAAAAGACAGAAAAGTTACACAGGGCACCTTTAAAATCTGGAAAAACTAGCAACATTTTAAGCACTATGTAACAACCCAAGTAATTCATAAGCATTCACTCTCTATATGCTATTAATAGTCACTTTTTCCCCATTTTGTTGCTATTCTTGTGAGTACCAGAAGCCATATGATATTAATTAACCACACATTTTTAGGTCTAGTTATTGTTAAAACACATTGAACCTTTAACATTTTGATTCTTATCTGTGGTGTGTTGAGGAGCTGTAAGAAATACAACTTGCATAATTTAAAGTAGAAAGATAATTTACCAAGAATTTGAAGATCCATCTGTAATACTGTTCAACAAGTTTATTCACCTGCCAAGTGCCCTGCCAAGTTCAAGTCCTGGTTCACATTAATTCCAGATGGCAGGTAATGTTGAGTGAAGGTATCAGCACTGGAAACAGCTGGAAACAGTAGAACCATTTGCCCAATCTCATTAAACTGTTAAGAAAAAAGTTAAAGAAAGTTAAAGTTAAAGCAGTTCTAGTTTAATACTAAATTCTTTAAAAAAAAATTCTTGCATGAAAGTTTAAAAAGATGTACAACATTTCAGACTTGAGAGCCTGCCACATTCTCCTTGTATACATGTGATGTGATTGTTTTGCCTGGAATGTTCCACAGTATAGCATTAAGTTATTCAGAGACACAGAGACAGGCTGGGAACACTACCGGGCCAAGTTACAGGTCAGATCTGTGGAGAGATGACCCCACTCAGTAACAATGAGTGTTTTTAAGGTCTTTGATACCATAAAACATATGGGATTTACTACATGCAAGATAGATAAGTTTAATGCTATATACTGTGGAAAAGTATTAACATCCCCATGGAGATAGAAACAGGTTGCAAACATCCAACCAGAAAAGTTACATGATACACCTTTGAGTTATGTAAAGGTCCTATATTACACAAAACTGATTCTTATGAGGTTGTTATAATGTTGTGTTGTGTTTGTGTTTGTTTCATTCACACTTGTTTGAGTAATCCATTATTATTAGTTTGTCTACATCTCCAAAGCTCAAAATGCTCTTTGACACTTTGTGATGTCATGAAATTATCCAAATGATTCTAGTAAAGTTGTATGGAGTTTAAAAACACAGTGGGGCACTTTCTATCACATGACATCAAATGTGTTCTATTTAATTTCAACCTAAATATGCAGGGTTTGAGCATTAAATGTGTGAATGAAACAAAACAGGTATGTTTTTGATGAAGAAACATTAAAACATAGATCAGAAAATAGCATAATATTAGCCCTTTAACACTGCCTGTTATTCTACCAGTACATGCCAGTGCAATATTTGTTCATGATGAATTTTAAATTTCATAAGTATAATTTTGCATGTCACAAGAGAATACAATCTCAACAGAGTTCACATGACATTTTTGTGGTTAGATCTCATTTCTTCTAGATAAGGGAGGATGAATCAGTGGTTGAGGGTTGGAGAGGTAAAGAGGTAAAGAGGGGCTAAGAGCTTCCATCCGGGACCAGCAAATAACCTGGAGCTCCCTTGCTGTTCCACAAACAATGTTCCTTTGATATGTCAGTGAGAGACAATGAACAAGAAAATAAATTTGAGCGTCACAGTGGGACCAGCGGGGAATCCCAGAGCGGAGCAGTGGACACTCACATTCACCATATGGTCCTGGTTTAACTCATAACTGTGACCTGTGCTCTCTGCTGTAATCTACCTCAGATGTCAGGACCAGAAGGAGTCAGAGAGCGCAATGCAGAACAATCTAAACAAGAGAATCTCCAGAGAGCCTTAATCAACCACTTCCGCCCTCCTACGACTCTCCCGTGTTGTCCTCCTCCTCCACTTTTTACTGATTTAATTTTACTTTCTCTTTCTTTGTCTTTCAGTGGACCATGTCCCCCTCTTTTTTTTCTTCTTCCCCATTGGAGTGGGATGTATAGATGTCCAGGGGCGCTCTGCCTCCAAAGGTCAGAGTGGAGTCTGTTCTCATAACCTGTCCGAAGCTCCAATTTTCTTGTCTTTTTCATTCAATTCTTCACTTATAAAATGAACTGTGAACCAAGGTAGATGGAATACCAAGCAGTTTAAAAGTACACTGTGAAACTTTTCTAGATGGCACCTGCTTGTTTCCATGGAGATGTTACTGAGTCACCTGAATTGCTCCATATTGTATTTATTCACTTGCATTTGTTTTTGTTGCTCCAAAATACATCGAAAAACATACATTCTCCACAGATCTGACCTGTAACTTGGGCTGATCTCACTCTTGCTTGTCTCTGAGGGGATAGGTAAGTTTAATGGCATACTGTGAAGCACTTCCTGTATTACCACACGGCATCACAAGGTGGAATAGAGTATTTTCTGTTTGAGAGAAGAACTTAGCTTAAATGAGGAGGGTTGTTGTGTTAAACATGTGGAAATGAAACAAAATACAACTCCGGATATCTTTTTGATAAGGAAACAACATTATAACATCGATCAGAAAATAACGTAATATTGAACTAAACAGCTACATAATTTGTTATCAAAAGCAAAAGAAATTTCATATACATGTCCTTTGGCCTATTCAAATGACTGTAGTTCTGTTGATACTTGTTTCACCACCAACAAAAACTAATATACTAGAATATATGGAGCAACAGGGAAACTTCATACCCCACATTTTATTTTTTAGTGTTGCTCTTTTTCAATTTCTTATCTCTATCCAAACATACCGGCCTCTTGGACAGGATCTTATGTGTGTAGTAGGTCTGCTATGCTCTGAGTTGCATTGAGTGAGTGAGTGGGAGCTACTGGTTCATGTTTGGGATCGACTCAAGTAATGTCACACATCTGGAAGGAGACTGCTGCTGCTGCCTGTTTAACCCTGTGCAGTACTGCGTTGGTGTGATTCCCAGTCCTCCCCTTTGTCTCTCCTTCTTTCTCTTCGGTCGTGTATATGTATGTGTGTAGGTGTATAAAGTTTCCAGATCTGTACTCTCGGAAAAGACCACCCACTCGGAAGACCAATAGAGGGACCGCGGGGAACCTGGATAGACACATACACACACTCATGTCCAAGTCCGGCTTCCAAAGTCAACCTGATCTCCTCTGTCTTCTCAGAATAGAACATGTTGTTATCAAAGATCTGACAGATAGCACAATGGCCGACAATGAGAGCGTATCAAAAGAACAAGACTTCAGTCCAGACGAGTGGTGTGTTTGGACATGCGGTTTGAAGAGGTGCACTGCAAAAAATGAAAATCAAACAGGGGTTTTAATTACCTGATTTCAATATCTGTATCTTGATCTTTGAATTTTTTCCATCTTTGAAATTATACAAAAATAGATAAACAACCAAAAAAAATAAAACAAAACAACAAAACCTTCCCACAACCCACCACTCTCTCCACACTCATCACATACACAAAACTACACATAAAAAAAAGAAACTGAAAACACTAAGCAAACAAACATTATCAATCAAGTCAGTCAAGTCCATTTTAATCTTAATGTGAGTATTTTGGACAGGGTTGTGTTTAATTGCTTGAAGAACTTTGCCTTTATATTTTTGACTGGTTTTAAGAAAATGTATTTGAACATGTATTTTAAAATTGTGTAAGTGTAGTATACCCTGCCTTGGACTTGAAATACAAATAAAATAAACCAGGTCCATCAAGTAAATACATTGAAATTTGTCAAATGTACTAAAATGAATATTGAAAGTATACTATGGAACATTTCTATTATTATTATTACATATATGTTTTGGTTTTTTTTTTGTTTGTTTTTTAACTTTTCCTAAATAAATAAGTGTGTCCTGAGACCTACCTTCACACAGTTTTACATAATTAATGTCTTTTTTCCATAATAAAACAAAACGAATATTAGGGCAAAAGTGTCATATTCGAGAAAATGAATAGTTGGACTTCTTTTCAAATTCACTTTTCTAGTACTTATTGCTCAAAAACACAATGAAAAACATTTTCATTATGATCTGGGTTGCCTCTCCACAGATCTTACTAACACGATACAGGTCCAGGCGACAATCCAGGCAAAGCAATAACATCTCCATGGAGACATGAATTTATGGTGCTGGGGCAATTCTGGTGCAGCCCCTCAGGGATCAAATAAAGCAGGTGGCAAAGTTCCATATTGCACCTTTAAAGGACCTATATTTATATTCTATTTTCTGATCTATGTTATAATGTTGTGATGATGATCAAAAACATACATGGAATTGTGTTTTGTTTCATTCACACATGTTTAACACACAAACATTGCATATTTAGGCTGAGTTCTTCTGTCATAAAGAAAATGCTGTTCCAACTTGTGATGTCATGTGGTAATACTGGAAGTGCTCCACTGTGTTTTTAAGCTCCATACTCCTTCACTAGAATCATTTAGATGTTTTCAGCCCTGGAATTGCCAATCTCTATTGAACTAAATGTAAAAGTAGCTGTTAAGTAGCAGTTAACTTGAAAACAAGAACCACATAACATCACAAGTGGAACAGAGCATTTTGAGGTTTGGAGTTGTAGACAGACCTGTGTGAATGTTTGTCTGTGGAGATGTAGACAGACAAACATTCACACATGTTTGAAGGTGACTCAACCATGTGTGAATGAAACAAAACACAACTCCAGGTGTGTTTTTGATGAGGTAACAACATTCTAACATGACTTGAAGCTCACAAGAGTTTTATGTAATATAAGCTTTTTAATATCTGGAAACTTAACAAT